CTTATGAGAGACGGTGTACCTGCCTTTTATAACGGGCTCATTTCCTGATAAATAACCCATTCCTTTGGTAACTCATAGTCCATTAATCAATCCACCAGCGGATGAAAGCATTCAAGAGGGCTCTGCCAAACTGCATTACAGACTCTCAACACTGCTAAATGTTAGGGACACATGGACTTGGGGAGGGGATCTAAATCATAGCAGTTCTTTAAATGAACTGCAATATAAAACAAGTGCATTATACATAATGGATCAGATGGATCACACTCTCCTGCCTAAATTGGGGGTCCAGAGTGTCTACTGGGTGTCCTTTTTAAGTAGATCTTGGAAAAGAAATCACTAGTCTGAGAAAACCAGACCACAAGCCAAATCTTCCCTCTGCAAATCTCTTGACTTCGTACCTGTTGGACTGTGCCTATTCTACTAGACAACGGTCTTTTCATCTCAGGCAGTCAGGGAAACGATGACAGAAGGCAGCCAAGACATTGGAGTCCTCCCAAGCATCAGAACCAGGCCACTGATTCAAGTTCAGAAAGCTACTTTGTTAAAAATTACCTTTGATAGGAAACTTCAAAATGTCGAGCATAGTGGCACAGGCCTGTAATCCCAGCACTTGGGAGGCAGAGGCAGGCAGATCTCTGAATTTGAGGCTAGCCTGGTCTACAAAGTGAGTTCCAGGACATTCAGGGCTACAAAGAGAAACACTGCCTCAAAAAAGCCAAAAAAGAAAAAAAAAAGACATAAAAAAATTAATGATATTTGCTTGCAGGAGAATAAAATGAGATCCTCATCTTTCATCTTGCACAAAAACTAATCTGCAGTGGACCTAAGACCTTAATTTAAGCACGAAATACTGAAACTCCTATGGAAGTCACAGGGGGTCCTCATCAAGACTTTAGGGTAGACAAGAACTTTCTGAACAGAACTCCAGTAGCACAGGAATGAGTCCCAAGCATCAACAGATGGGACTTCATGGAATTTAAAAGCTTCTGCACAGCAAAGGAAACCATTAGCAGAGCACACAGGCAGCCCACACAGTGGAAGGATTTTTTTACTGGCCATACTGCAGACCTGGGGCCAATATCCAGAATTTACAAAGGGTTACAGAGATTAAATACAAAGACAACAAAACCACTCACGAACAACTGGGTTAATGAAGTGAAAGGTGGTTTACAAAAGAAGTACAAAAAGCCAATAGCTATTTTTAAAAATGAGCAGCATCCTTAGTCATCAAAAACTGCATCTGAAAACTGCCTTGTGATACCACCTCAAACCAGTCCGGAGGACTAGCATCCAGAAATCTGACAACAAATGCTGGAGAGGAGGAGAGGGGAGAGGAACACTTATTCACTACTGGCGGGGCTGCGAATTAAAACAACTGATACAGAAATCAGTTTGTGGGTGCCTCGAAAAGAATTAAAAACAGAACTACCATATAACCTTGAGAATATACCCAGGGAATTCCATATCCTACTTTAGAGATATTTGCACATCCGTGTTTATTGCTGCTGTAATATATACAGCAAAGAAATGGAAACAACCTAGATAACATGAGCAGATTAGTGGATAATGAAAATGCAGCACCTATATAAAATAGAATATTGTAGAGCTGCAAAGAAAAATGAAATCATGAAAGTCGTAGAAAAAAATGAATGGACTTAGAAAGTATGTGTGTATACATATATACATGTATGTAACAGCAATTATCGGATAAAGAGGCCATGAATTTGAAAGAGAACAGGGAGGGGTAGATGGGAAGACTTAGAGAAAGGAAATGGAAGAAATGATGTAGTTATAGCATAATATAACTCAAAAATTAGAGATAAGTTTTTTAAGATGCATTCTCTTTCTCATATTCGGATACAACCTATAACATGTGTGTGTGTGTGCACGCGCATGCGTGCTTGCATGCGTGCATGTGTGTGTGTGTGTGTGTGTGTGTGTGTGTGTGTGTTCATGTAAACAGCTGTAAGGAGACTAAGAAAGGGTAATGGGGTGATGAGGAAGGACAGAATGCAGGTAGAAGGACACATGAGTCATGAAAGAGATTATAAAGCTAATTGTTTTTCATTTCAACTCTTTCAAAGCTTTTTTTCTTCTCTCTCTCTTTTTTTTTTTTTTGGTAGACAAATACATAACAAGGTAACTGATAAATTAAGTGTAAAACCCTAAGTGAAGCTCCCTGGCTTCAGAATGGCCACCCTAACTGTTTAGACGTTCACTGGAATGCATAGAGTTTGAGAATGGAGAAGTGGACAAGTGTTTGAGGGGCTTCCTTAAACACGCTGTATCGTGCTTTTATTTGTGAGCTCATTACAATAAAGTGATTTTTTTTTATAGTTGAAAAAAAAAAAAAGAAAACATTTGAAGGAGGAGGACTGTCCAGCTGTTAGAGCATGTGTGGTGGAGAACAGAAGGGCTTTCCGTGAAATCGTGTCAAGGGTTTCCTAAGTGGAAAACCTACGCTCTTAGCTGCCATCTGCTACTTTGGGACACATTCTCCACTGAATATAACTTCCTAAGAAGGCACAAGCACACAGAGCTTTTCTTAAAGGAGAGACTCCTCAGGATATGTGGATGGATGGAGTGGCGGGGAGAAAGGCAGAGCTGCAGAGAACGTTCCCAGTCTTCAGAAGTAAGCCTCTCTCCAGTTCCCATTGTTCTTTTCGTCTTAAGAGCAACACAGGTGCATGTCTGTTTGCACCCACATGTGCTCATCACACACTCTGTTGGTTTCTTCTTCCAAGGACTGCTGTCTCCACTGTGTGCTTTGTGAATCTGTTTATGCCAAAGACACACTGGGCAAGGTTCTGAAGACCTGATCTGCTGACTCAGAGTCTCACGGAACCTGGACCATTGCCAAATTCATGGTACCACATGATACACACTTGTTCTGTTTCCCTAACAGTTACCAAGCACAAATTTCAAAGTCACACTGATCTCTATGTAAGCTGCTTCCCTAGGATTCATTTCAGCATTTGCTCATGTTTCTGTTTCTTCTTTCTAAAGCTGGGCAAAGGCAAGTTTGAAGAAACTACCTTGAAGAAAATATTTACACCTCAAAGCTCATTTGTCTTTATCGATGTGCCCTTTTAAATAAAGAACTAGAAGAAAAGAGCTGGGAGAAAGTAGCCCCCCTTTCAAAAATCTCTTCTCACCCCAGCTCTGCCATCGTTGGGATGGGCTGAGTAGTGGTACTGAAGAAGCATTATAGATACTGTGTTTGGCTGTGTCTAGGACTTTTAAATGAGCCAGAAAGTGGAAATGTCTACACTGCCTCAGCTTCAAGCTCAGAACCGAAGTTTAGCATCTGCAGGGATGCCCCCTGAGGCACTCTTCTCAATGTCTGATGGTGGGGGCTGCAATTGCAGTGAGGAAGGCTTCTACCTGATGCTCAGCACAGATTGAACTGATAGGGAGACTAGGCCTACAGTGAAAACAATTCTCACAATTACTGAACATTCTTAATCATCTGGCACTGAATCCCTCTGGATCTCACCATAACCTCATAAGGAAAGTCCTATTACTATTCGGATTAACAGGAGAGTAAATCTGGCTTAGAAATGCCAACCAAAGAAGCCAACATGACATATTAAATTAGCAGCAAAGTTCAGTAAGGACCCTGGGTCCAGTGTCTCCAGGTGGTCCTTTGCCTCTGTTCAGTCAGGTATGCATACAGGAAAATGAAAGGAAAACACATTAATACCCGTCATGTGTCAGCTTGGGAGAAAAGAGGAAGTCCTTAGGAAAAGATGTCTCCAACTGATCCAAACTCGGGTTCATGACCACACCTTACTACTAAAGAGCCTGGAGAACACAGTCTAGCTAAAGGCCAATGAAGCATCTGCACATTGGTGCACAGCAGTTTACTGTAGACCACATGGAAGTCAATAACCTTATCTTGAAATACACAGCTGTAAACTGCTCTTGGTCCTTGACTCTTTGCTTATCTGACTGTGCTGTTGCCTACTAAAGCAAGATACGGAAATTAACCAGACAGCTCAGGAACACCCCACAAGAGAGCTTCAGAACCACGGCTTTTCAACATTTCCTCTTCCTCTACTAGTTGGATGGATAATTACACCAGCCTTGGTCTCAGAAAATTTTGATTAAACAAGTAAGTTGTGTTTGATGGACACTGTGTGTGTGTGTGTGTGTGTGTGTGTGTGTGTGTGTGTGTGTGTGTGTACATGTGAGCGCACATGGGGTTGTGACTCCATAGCAGGGCACTGTTAATCCCACTGATCGAGAATAAGACTACTACCACAGTTTAAAGCCAAATTTGAACTAGGCTTTAATTAAATACTGATCAGGTGGATGGCTTCTAGCCTGTTCCAGACCCAGGTTCCCAGGAAATGGCCCCAAGTCACAGTTTGCAGCGGCTTAAGAAGGAAAACCCATAACTTATTACATTTCCCATCAGAAATTCATTGCATTTCGCATCGGGTCCAATCAGAAGCAAGCATATATCCTGGCATACCCCCCAGCAACATCCAATCAGGGGCAAGCGTACATCCTGACCTATTCCTAGCATGTGAGCCTCCCACCCACATGTGATCAAGCACATCTGGTACAGATGGGTCGAGCAAACTTGTTTAGGGCAGTGAAAACATGTGCCTTGTCATCTCCCATAAACAACAGCCTCCAGCATTTCAGGAACTGTCTGTCCTTAGGCAAGGGGCTTGCAGATCACAGACACTTTTATTTCATGGATCTCTAAGGCAGAGTAATTAAAACTTAAACTGTAACTTTGGCTCTCACAGGACCCAGTGGAACAGTTTAAAAACCATGAGGATAACTCCAAAGAACTGTGTGGATTTAGAATTAGTTGCTAACATCCACCTTCCCTGGATACTCTGGACTCCGGTTGCTCATCACAGGCTGGTTACTATACACCTTACTACTTACTAAGCTCGTGTTCTACTAGACCAATTCAAATAAGGTTGTTTGGACCCCTGATTAGGTCATGTCTGTAGTCTAAGAGGACAGGGGTAGGAATTCCACAGGAGGATATAAATGACATGGGCTTTGTTGTTTTCAGACCAATATCTTAAACACACACACACACACACACACACACACACACACACACACACACACACAGAAAAATCAACCATCTGTAATCTCCAGCATTCAATCATTCATAAACCATGGACTCTGAAATGCCTCTTTGGGTGTATGTGGTAGTAACAAACAGTCTGGCATGTTCCATAAAAATATTCATCCTTACCTCTGCTCTTTTTGTTTCAACACTGGGTGTAAAACATCAGTTATGTTCTGACACAAAGTCTACATGGAGCCCAACATGAACATGGCTTCTAACAAAAATCTTGTTAGCTTCCTAAATCAAGCATGTCTTTATTATCAAAGCAGAGATAATCTTCCTTAAGTTTCTTTTTCACTAAGCTGGAACCTCGTCAGTTTCACTTAGGTCATGAGGGGTGTCGAAAACTGCCTAGTAATCCTCATGTGTATAAATACCTTGCTTATCTGAGAATCCCTAGAACCTCACTGAAGTTGGAAGAGCCTCTCAGCCTGAATAGAAGTACTAAGGAGCTGTCTCCCAGCAAAATGAGGTAAAGGATTTCTCTGCTTTGCTCACCTTATTTCTGTAGATGTCGACATTGTAAAACTTCGAGCCTTAAATGACTGGTTCCCAGGTACACTTCCTCTGATGGAGCCATCCTGCTCAGGGTTCTGATGCTGACAGGTCTCCGTCTGGCCATTGGGGAAAGTTTTGGGTAGGAGGCTAACAACAGTGTTAGCATGGTAACCATAGGTCTTTGGGGGCAGTGGGAGGGAGATTCAGTAGGTCTGGAATGGTCCTTAGCTGTAGCTCTCAGAAGCAGCTTTCTCAGAGCCTTGGCAGAGAACTCAGCTGCCATCAATTTAAAGGCCAGCTTGCTGGAAGCTCACAAAAGAGGATCAAGACCCTCTCCTTTCCTGGCACCATAATTTCTGAGTGGGGCAACCAAATGACTGAAGCCAAAAGACAGTGAAAATATCAAAGAGATCTAGATAAAGAAGTCCGTCGGGTCAGCTCCCATGTGTGGGAGATAAGAATGGAGGGAAGAAGTGGTCCAGGAAGGCGAGGCGAGAATAACTGTAGAGATGAGTTTCCCTCCTGTAGCCTACTTGGTAAAGGTGGCATCGCTCTTCCAGGAATAAATAAGAAAGCCTTTTTTATTCCAAAGGAGCTACCGCTTGGTAGGACTTTCTACCACAGTGACAATTTCCCAAGGGGGCACTTACAGACTGCCCATGAAAGGACAGAGGTCTGAGCCTGAGCAAAGACTGGTGAGTGGACAGAGGAGCGTGGCGACTTCGGAGCAGAGGGAAAAGGAGAGGAAGCAGGTTTTGGTTGGATAATTTGATTGAATCCTGGTGGAAAGAAAAAGCTAATTTTAAAGGTGGACATTTTTTTTTGTTGTTGTTTTTATTGATAGCCCAGTCAGAGGTTTTTAAAATATATATTTATTTATTTTAATTTATATGTGTTTGCCTGCATGACTTTATGTGTATCACATGCCTGCAGGTGCCCATAGAGGCCTGCAGAGGGCATCAGAGCCCTGGAACTGAGTTACAGGCAGTTGTGAGCCACCTGATGTAGGTGCTGGGAACTGAACCAGGTCCTTAGAAAGAACAATAAGTGTTACTAATTACTGAACCATCTCTCTAGTCCCCTAGGTCAGGGTTTCATGATTACAATAAAACTATGAAAATCTCATTACTCTGAAATTTATGTTTCACTACATTGGCTATGCTCAGATTAAGTTTATGTGGCTACCGGGGTCAGTATCAGCTGGATACTTACTGGAAACACAAATTCCCAGATTCCACCCCAGAACCGGTCACTCAGAAACTCTTGAATAGGCTTGGCAATCTGGATGTCTGTGACATTCAGTGCTACAACTGATAGACTCTAAGGCTTGAAAATTCAGCATCTTTGGCTTGGGATGCTCCAAGTCTAGGAAATACCCACCCCTTTCTTTCCTGGTTTGGTTAGAATGAGTAAACCACAGGACATAGTTTCACTCAAAGCCAATCTGGCTAGTTTTCTGAACCTATCTGATGTTGTAGTTGGTGGGAGAAAGAACTAACTAGTAAAATCGGCTCCTCACCAGGATTCCTCCTCCAGCAAAGATCTATACCTGGCTTGAGAAGAAATAACATATTAGTGACTGCAAAGAAAAGGAACTAGTTTTAGTCTAAGGCTATATATTGGCCACATAAAAATGCCCCCTGGTCCCAATGGTGCAGGGACAGAGGCAGAGCGAGCTCTCTGTTCATGCATTTTCCACTGATCAAAACAGCTGAGGGAAAGAAGCCAGCCTGACAATCGTGCCAAGCCCCAGCCACCACATGCAAAGCGGTAGGTATAGTCCTCACAGTGTGCTCCCAGCTAACAGAGGATGTGGCTCCTTAGCATTCCTGTTCTATAGAGTATGGACCCCTGTGATGACATTCTGCTCCATAGTTATGCCAGGGCCAAAGCCAAGAGAAAGGCAAGAGGTACCACAGCTATAAGCACCAAAGTAAAAAAGGAAAGCAATTTCCTTCTAGCAGGAGACAGAGGAGCCCAAGAGGTTCTTCACATGGTGCTCTTCAAGTTCCACAGTCTGGAGTAGGGCAAAAACCTGCTAAGCTTTCATGTTACAAACTGCCCTGATAAGATCACTTGAAGGGAGTCTCTGTTTCTCATTAATATACTAACTGGGTCAGAGATCAGGTGCCTGAGATTGGGCCACATATTTAGAGAGCATGGAAGATTCAGCCACAAACATTGTAGCAGCTCTAGAGTAACAGACATCTCCGTGGATGTCTTCCCTGGGTAGTTAGTGTCTGCTCTCATCATCATGGGCTGTCGTGAGCAGAAGTGAGGCATTTATGTCAAAAGCTTTCCCTAATGATATTTGCTTTAGGATGTAGGGGCAACTTTTTCAACTGTCAAAGAAATAATAATTAAAGAGAGAACATCATAGAAAGAAAAAATATTAGAACAGAAACTCTAGGTCACACAGATGCCTAATTATTGTGCTTCCCCCTGGGTGGTGGGAAATAATTACTATAGTTGTTGAGACTTTGATTACCCATCCTTCACTTAGCTACAGAATCACCCGACTTCAGCATCAAATGGATTATAAAAGTGAGGGTTACATTTGACCTTATACCATGTTAACGTTACTGTGGGGTTCTGTCTATTTGTTCAGATGCAGGAGGGCGGAGGCCCCACTACTTTCTCCACTCCAGCTTAGGCATTTAGGAAAGTCATCCACTGAAACCATTTCTGGTTCTCAGAGTTAACTCAGAAGCCTGCTTGGGAGGTGAGAGATAAAAGTGAACTTACATATTGGAAAGAAATACAGAAAGGAGTAAGAGACCACTTCTGTGAGTTACCCCTCCCAACTTCTTTTTCCTAAAAGAATCAGTGCTTAAACCATGAAGTTTGAAGGAAGCAGAAAGGGTGAGTGTCTATAGTGTTAAACTAAAATTATATTAGTTAAATTATAATTTATTAATTACTTGAGATTGTTGTTGATCAAATTCACCCAATTCTTCTGTCTCCTCCCAGGTCCCTCCTACACTTCCTTACCCTTCAGCTCTGTGTCCTATTTTTTTTTTTTAATTTAATAACCCATGAACTCTAGTTTGTGCTGTCCATATACTTCTGGGTATGGGGCCGCCCACTGGAGCATGGTCAGCTTATCAGGAGCCACACCCTTAAAGAAGTAAAAATATTGACTGCTCTCCAGAAGCCGTTGACTTCTCTCAGGTCTTCAAGAGTGAGAGCTCATGAGCCCCACTCCCACTCCAGGTTAGACTGTTGACTGCCTTGATGGGGTGGAGATCTTGTTTGGGCAACTGGAGCAGTTCTTGAGCGCAGTGGTCCTGCCATATTCAGACATTGCTTTGCTCCAATCCTTCACAACCATTGGCTCATATCTTTTTACCCCCTCTTCTGAGATATCCCCTGAGTCTTTGGGGAGGGGCGTGATATAGATCTCTCAGTCATGACTGAACATTCCACTGATACTCATTCTTTGCACTTTGACCAGTTGCGAATTTCTGTGTCAGTAACTGTCCACCACACAAAGGAACTACTCTGATGAGGTCTTAGAGTTACACAAATCTATGGGCAGAGAGATATGAATTCAGAGGGCAGTTGGAGAACTGCCTGTAATTCCAGTTCCAAAGAATTTGACCCCTTCTTCACAACACCAGGCAAGCATGTGGCACACATAGATACATGCAGGCAAAACTAACATAAGCATAAAATAAAATAAATTATCAGAGGGCAGTTTGATGTTATGTCCATTCGGCAAAATACTTGTAGTAGGGCCACCCCTGGGGCCTGAAAGCTCCCCAGCCATGAATTCTTGGGCAGACTTGCAGTGCCAGGCATGTGTTTCCTCTCTTGACCTGGACCTCAGATCCAATCAGAGCATGGTTATTTGTTCCATAGCATTCATGCCACTATGGTATCAATGGCCATATCTTGCCACACTGGTCATTATTGCATTGCAATTCACAGGCCTCACAACTGGGTAAGACTATTGATAACTCCTTCACACCCAGTAGTCTGCACAGTACCTTCCAAGTAGTGTGAGAACTAGTCAGCAGGGGAGAAACCTCCGGGTCAGTACTGACTTGATTTTCCCATGTCTTGTGACTGATGTGTGGGGTGTCTTCAGCAATAGGGTCCTGTCATCAAGTAAAAGTGAACAATCAAGAATGATGGCAATATCCTGTATTATCTTGGGGGCCTCTAAAACACCTCTGACCAACAGCGTGAAGGGCAGTGTCTCCCTCCTGCCACATAGCTTTTTATTTGGCAATTTACGGCAACTGGTGTAAATATAATTCTCTTGTGTAGGGTGAATTCAATAAACACATATTCTCGTCTCTGTCTCTGTCTCTGTCTCTCTCTCACACACACACACACACACACACACACACACACACACACACACACACACTACTGAATCCATTTATCGTTGGTGACCACTTTGGATTGGATAACCTATTAAGAGGCTTGTTTCTGGAGAAAACTGTTTCTCCCTCAGCAGCCATTGACTACTTGTATTTCTTCATCTAGGACTGGGGCCTTGTGAATTTATTTTCCCATTTCTGTAGTCATGTCAACTGATGCAATCATTATGCAAGTCATGTTTATGCAAGCATATTGTTTGTGCAAGATTGCATGGGCACAGCATCCTTGTCAAAACTAGAAGATACCCTCTCACAGCGGGCCTCCTGGTCCTCTGGCTCTTACAATCTTTCAGATCACGCTTTCTTTATAGTCTCTAAGCCTTAGGTATCATAGGTGTCTTAGTTAGGGTTTCTATTGCTGTGATAAAGACTATGGCAAAGAAAAAGCCAACTTGGTAGTGGGGAAAGAGTTTATTTCGTTTTATAGTTGTAGTCCATCATGAGGGTAAGTCAGAGGGAGAAATCAAGGTAGGAACTTGGAGGCAGGAACTGAAGCAGAAGCCATGGAGGAGTGCTGCTTACAGGCTTGCCCCTCATGGCTTGCTCAGTCTGATTGCTTATATATAACTGTCTGCCCAGGGATGGCACTACCCATAATAGGCTGGTCCCTCCCACATCAATCACCAACTAATAAAGGGCCTCGCAGTCTTGCCTACTTGGCCAGTCTTAACAGAAGCATTTCTCAGTGGAGGACCCCCCTTCCTTAATGACTCTAGTTTTTGTGTCAAGATGGCATAAAACTAACCAACACAGGAATTAAATCCTACTGATATTAATGAAATTATTATTTTGATTAAATTGTAGATCTTTTGTAACCAAGTACTAGAATCATTAAATGAGCTGAATTTTTCAAATTGTTATGTAAAATTACTCCCTAAGATAAGAGAGATAAATACAGAGAAGGAATAAATACTGGCAGCAGGGATATTGGGAAGGGGGGTGTTTAGTGACTTAAAATACTGGTTTGATTTCCAGTACATAGAGTGTGTAAAAGGTGTCAGTAACTGGGGTCTGTTTTTACAGTGAAGAATCTCACAGAAATCTCATACGAGATAGCCTGATTCAGCTGAGATGTCACTTTACCTGGGAGCTGGTTATAGAAGATGTGGACATGCCTGACTTGGAAAAAAGAGTCTTTGATATTGAGTTCCCTGACACCAACCACAGCATGGGGATGCTCAACCTCCAGGCCTATGTGAAACACCTAAAAGGCCAGCATGAGGAAGCCCTGCACAGCTTGAAAGAAGCAGAAGCCTTGATCCAGGGAGAGCAGTTGGGCAAGAGAAGCCTGGTGACCTGGGGCAACTGTGCCTGGGTGTATTACCACATGGGCAGCCTGGCAGAAGCCCAGACCTACCTGGACAAGGTGGAGAACACATGCAAGGAATTGGGCAGTCCCTTCCGCTATAGTATAGAGTGTGCTGAGATGGACTGTGAGCAAGGCTGGGCCTTGCTGAAGTGTGGAAGACAGAATTATGAACGAGCCATGGCCTGCTTTGTAAAGGCTCTGGAAGTGGAGCCTGAAAACCCTGAATACAACATTGGTTATGCTATTGTAGCCTATCGCCAGGATTTCAGTGACAATGTTTTTTCTCTGGAACCCCTAAGGAAGGCTGTCAGGTTAAATCCAGATGATCCATACATTAAAGTTCTCCTTGCCCTAAAGCTTCAGGACGTGGGAATACATGCTGAAGCAAGAATGTACATTGAAGAAGCTCAGGCTAACATCTCCTCCCAGACCTATGTCTTCGGATATATGGCCAAATTTTACCGAAAGGAAGGTTTTCTGGAGAAAGCTCTCCACTTCCTTGCTATAGCCTTGCAGGCAAAACCTTTCTCCGCCTTCTTGCATCATCAGATTGGACTTTGCTACAGGAGACAACTGTTCAAAATAAAGGAAGCTACACACATGCATCCTAGAGGTCAGGACAGAGAAAGAGCAGACCAATCCACCCATCTGGCTATGTTGCACTTTCAAAAGACTTTAGAGCTGAAACCCACATTTGAGATGGCTTACGTGAATCTGGCTGAAATGTACATAGAAACTGGCCAATTTGGAAAGGCTGAAGACAATTTTCAGAAAGTGTTGAGCATGAGAAACCTTGATGCTGCTATACAGCAAGACATTCATCTCCGCTATGGCCATTTCCAACAGTATCATAGGAGATCAGAAGACAAAGCGATCACCCATTATATAAAGGGTCTGAAAATAGGAATAACTTCTTCCTATGTCAGAGACAAGCTTCTGGAGGCTTTGCAGAAGCTGGCTGAAAGACGCATTCGCCAGAATGTTCGTGTTGTGGAAAGCATCAGCCTCCTTGGGTTTGTCTACAGACTGAGAGGGGACATGAGTGAGGCGCTGCGATGCTATGAGAGGGCCCTGAGACTCACCGAAGCATTGAACCCCGAGTTTTGAAGCACGGCTCACCAAGTGACATATAAAGCATTCTCGTGGCTCATTATTCTGCTCTTCTTTTGGAGTTGTTACTTTAATTATGTGGAACCCAGTGAAGCAAGTTGAAGATGACTCCCTCTGTTTTCTGGCTTTCTATAGCCCTGGTTTTTGTTTTGTAGTTTGTTTGTTTGTTTGGCAGGGTTTTTTTTTGTTGTTGTTTGTTTCTTGAATACGTGTGTCTGTGACAGGAGCATTCATTCTCCTTTCACGCTTTGCTGTGTTCATTGACCATGGTTGATTCCTGCTGTTCTGGACATCTGTGAGCTGCAGAACCCACAAGAACCATTTTTCCTTATGAGTGCCTTTGGAGTGCATGACCCACTCCCTCAGTCTTGTAGGACCCTGATCAAAGGACACTTCACCAAAGAAGGCTTATTTTTTCATGCTTCAGGAGTCTCTGACCTTGAGCAATATGTGAGAGCAAATTAAATGAGCAAGGATGAGCACTGAGAAGGAGAGGAATTCAGGATTACCCTACAGTGTTCCAGTCCATAGTTCCATTTCCACAGGCCCTACTATAGCCATAACCTGCTGGTCAGTGAGCTCAGCCTTATAATCAGTGCAGCTTTTTATATCAAGTTTCTGACCTCAGACAATTGTGTTGGATGTATGTGTTCCAAATACACTGACATTTAATTACAGCTAAGAAGACTTTCAAAGTATTCTGGGAAGACAGAATAAAGGGGTGGCCTCTTTGGAATGTGCAAACTAAAAATGACATAAGTAATTTCATGACACTGCTTAGATGATTGAGAGTTGTGTGATATTATCTTGCTATTTTTCTAACCCTATAGTATTCAATAAAAATCTGCGAATATCACAGAATTTTGAATGTATTTTGTTTGTGAAATCCACATTCTGTGTTTGTATGGAATCAGAACACAGCAGAACCAGCCTACACAGGGTTAAAAGGGACAAAGCAAAGAGGCCTCGGGAATATAGATACTATTGAATCTTAAAGAATATGGGGGGGGGGGAAGGAGGGCAAAATATCAGGAGAATGTCTAAAAAACTCATAAAGTATCATGTTATTAACTATCTACCTACAATGCCTATAGTACATGTAAATCAATGTAACCTATAGAGTTTAAATGAAAATTTCCCATTTGGGCTGATGTCCCCCCCCAGTCCCCCCTCCCACCCCCCCACCCCCACCCCACAAGAGCCATAGACTAACAAAAACCCCAATACCAGACATGAGAAGCCCCCTTTTGAGTTGCTGGTCAGAGTTGTCTAAAAGACTCCCAAAACACTATAGGGCTATTGCTGCTGCTCTTGGTTGCCCCCTGAAGGTGGAAGGTAAATCTATATTGCTGAGGATATTATGCACTTTGGACTTAGGACCCAGCAGACCCCAGGTGGATCTGCCCTTAAAGCCTCTTATCTGTGGATGGGCTGTCGTGGTATCAGAAGGTGCCATGCCAGCTTCCAAAGGAGGGAAGCAACCAATAGTACTACCAAGCTATGATACTTATAAACCACAATAACAATCAGAACGGCACTAGCATAGTCCTAAGAATGTAATAGTGTATGTAATACCACATATACCTTGGTGGTAACCAATAGTTCTCTAATTAGACTGAAGACTTGCTCAACAAGAGGGAAATCGTGCCTGGTTCTGGAAACCTAGCCAACTGCCTAGGACTGGTAAAGTCATGGATCTTAGAAGAGAGCCTACAACTGCCGCTTTACAAAACCAGCATCATCCCTAAAACACTGTCCTATACCCACAGATGAGTGCAGTATTTATACCTCATCAAGAAAATTCTCCTCATAACAGAGACCATTATAGAAGACCACAATCAATCAAAATGCAGAGTTATGAAGCCAAGTCCCAACATACACTTCTATATCACAACTCCTGAACCTGAGGCTCAGGGGTCATTGCAGAAGAGAAGGTGGGAAAACATTGAAAAGCCAAAGGAACAGGAAGTTTGGTGTGAGATTGTGTCTGCTATAAATGTCAGAGGCACTGTGGCTATAAAGTCTCACCAACATAGCGGTCTAAACATGACCCGAGTAAGAAGGACACCAGTAGACCATGCTAAAGTAGAGGTGGGAAAGCTTAGGATGCCTCAACCCTATGCAAAAAACTAGAGGCAACTAAGGAGAATTGGGATGGGAGACATAGTCTTCCCCAGGAAGAGCACACCAATTAGTTATCCAATACCAATGGTCAGCCCTGAAAACATACACATGTAAGTAACATTATACAGATTGAGCACACACACCACATACACATGTGGACACACATACACACACACACACACACACACACACACACACAGAGTGAGGAGGGAAGGAGGGAGACAGACAGAGCAAGAGAGACCGTACAAAAAAGAGACTCCCAGAAAAACTGGTGGAAGAACTCTCAAGCTGAACGCTGCTGTCTTTTTAGTTCAGTTCTAAGCAAACAAAATGGCTCTTATTACATGCTGCAGATGTGAGATAGTTTGCTATATCTTGATAGATAACTGATAGATTATACTTTTACTTCCCTCTGCCCATATCTGTTATGGGGACATGACAATTACTGCTGTGTCTTCCTCAGCTACAGGAATGCCATACTAAGAAGGAAACTGTAGATGACAGTACGTTGAGCCCTATACTCTCATATGTGCAATCCCACCTTCTAAAATCATGCTTCTTTTTAAGTGGTTTCTAGTATTCTTCAATGAGAAAGGTTTAATAACTAGTAACAACTGTTACTAGTTAACAATTGAGACAGCACAACCCTTTTCATATACACTCCTATGCCTTGTTTGTAGCTGGAAGTTTTTCTGTGTCCTACCTGGCCTGTGGTCAGGACAAATCTCTCACCCACAGTCCCACAGCGCTTTATAAAATAATTACACAGAGGCTTATTATTTTTATAACTGCTTGACCATTAGCTCAGGCTTATTACTGACTAGCTCTTACACTTAAATTAACCTATAATTCTTATTTATGTTTAGCCATGTGGCTTGGTACCTTTTCTAAGTTGTGCCTTGTCATCTTTTTTTTTCTGTGTCTGTCTGGCATCTCCTGACTCAGCCTTCCTCTTCCCAGAATTCTCCTTGTCTGCTTGCCCCGCCTATACTTCCTGTCTGGCTACTGGCCAATTAGCGTTTTATTAAACCAGTGTACAAAAGCATTATCCCATGGAACTTGTATGTTGTGGTAGTTTTAATTTCCCTACGCCCACCTTATAATATCTCAGACTGATGATCTGTTGTATTTCTGAGTGACATGTGCCATTTTATAAAGCATTTCAGTAGAATTATTAAGTAAATTATGGCAGATGGGAGTACTTGACAAAGGAATCCTTGGCTACTGAGTAAATTTATTCATTATGTTATTGCTCCTTATATTAGCCTCTTGTTTTAAATATAAAATTATTGATTTTGCAATTAAAAGTAGATATCTATGCTGTAACATGATATTCTGCTATACCTATAAGTTATGGAATGGCTGTATCAATCCATTAACATGAATCACCTGGAGTACTTACTTTTTATAGTAATAACTCTCAAAATCTACTCTTTCAATTATTTTCAGTATTGTTAATTGTCATCCTCTATTTCATTGTCATATTTCTGTAATTAATATCTTTTAAGACAGGGTCTTGCTGTATTGTTCAGGCTGGCCTAAGACATGCCATGCAGTCTATGTTAGCCTAGAAGCTTCCATCTTCCAGGAGCTACAGAAGTGTGTTATCATACCTAGCTGATTGCTTCTTAAATATAGAATTTCGTAAGTCTCAAAATACCTAGAAGGATCAAGTTTTTGATTAGTGTATTTTGAGTCTATCAGAAGGCTGCTTGATGTGGAGTTTTGCACAGTTCTAAATTCAGAGAGACAGATTTGTATATTATCATGGCATCCCCACCACTTGCATACCTCCTAACATGTTTCCAGTTGCTAAACTAACCAGAAAATCATCTCAGAATTTATTCAATTTTTTTTTTCTGGAATTTTGTTCCTCATCTAGGGGAAAGAAATTTATTCAAATACTAATACTAATCTTATTTATATGTTATTGCTTTTTTTTTTTTTTTTGATTTTTCGAGACAGGGTTTCTCTGTGCAGCTTTGCACCTTTCCTGGAACTCACTTGGTAGCCCAGGCTGGCCTTGAACTCACAGAGATCCGCCTGGCTCTGCCTCCCAAGTGCTGGGATTAAAGGCGTGTGCCACCACCGCCCGGCTTATGTTATTGCTTTTTAAATGTATAACCTGTGGCTATGAATTATACTCATAAATGAATTAAAAAGAGACCCCAGAGCTGTGCATGGGGCTCCACACCTGAAATCCCAGAAGCAGGGAGGCTGAAGACAGAGAACTGTGAATTTGAGACAAGCTTGGGCTACACAGAGAATTCCAGGCCAACGTGGGCTACACAGGGAAACCCTGTCTAAAAACAACAGCAACAACACAGTCTGCAAAGGAACAGCATGAAGAGTTGGAAGACTCTTCTGATGGCTGAGTGAAATGAAGCTCTCGGTGACAGATGCTGACAAGTTTGAACAGGCCATTGGCACCCCGGATGGACTCTGTCCTTAGGCTGCTCTAGTACCAGTGTCCTCACACACTGATGAGAGGGCATTTGCTCGGGTCTCTCTGGGCCCCCAAAAATATGGCCAAAGAAACAGCTGCTAATTGTGCACAGACCTCAGCTGCATCTGTGGACTAGAAGAAGAGTGGTAGTTCCTAGATATAGGAAACAGCTGGATTGGCTCAGCATGGAGAGAGATCTTCAAATAGATGTGCTTTGGAAAGTATGATATGCGTTCATAATTTTCTTCCTAGTGGAAGAGAAATCATTAAAAACTCTTCAAAATCCCATACATGTATATAATATATTTTGATCATATCTATTCCACCACCTCCCTGTCAATATCCCGAGTACACCCCAACATGCTCCCCTCCTAACTTCTTGTCCTCTCTTTTTCTTTAATAACTGCTATCCGCTCCTCAGAAAGGGATATAGACCTCAGAAGCCACCCCCAGTCCTAGCAGAAGAAATTTTGAGATTTAATATTATTGTCTTAGTTCCTTGTCCCATACCATAATACACACACACACACACACACACACACACACACACACACACACACAATTATCTGTATTCTGAGTTGAAACTTTTAGATTTATTATAAATGCATTTCAGTTTGTCATACATGTTCACCATAGAATCTTTGTCAGGAATACACACAAACACGTGGTGGAATAAAAGAATAAGGTTAGGCAAAAGCTAATCCTTCAGGCTTAGATTGCTGCATTCAACTGGAATGAAGAAATAAGACTAAATTTGCATATATTAATAGTGATCGAAAAGTGGTGTGTGAGCCTGGAGTCCAGTTTCCCTGGGTGATTAGTGATAAGACCTGCTGACTGGGAAATTATATAGCTGAAATGGACGGGGGAATCGGGAAGAGAAAGCAGCTCTTTAAAAGTGTTTGTTAACGCAATTCAGCGAGAGCAGCCTGCTCAGCAACACGACCAGGTGTGGAGGGCTCCTGCACCTCCCACCTGGTTGGTACCACTCCAAGGCACACTTCTCTCACAGTGCAGAGCTGAGCGCCTGCACACTGGCACACTTCCTGTTGTCCTCAGGCTCAGATGCTGTCTAGAAAAGGCTGCCTGTGGCCCTAAAGAGTGTCCCCCCACCCAGCTTTTGATTTATTCCCCGGAGTTGCCAAGAATCTGGCACATTTTACTGCTACAGGTTTTCGTCTGCAGCCTATGCTTGCTGTGTTAGCTCTTCCTTCTCAATGGATTGTTTGTTTCTGTGAAACTGCAGTAAAACCTTCAGGGCAGCCAGGTCTTCAGACTTCCGGTGATACTCCTGGAGGTCACAATAACGCTGGTAGAGCTGTTGTTCCTCAGCACGAGGGCTCTCCTTGCTGAAGACCAACTGATAGCATCGTTCTACTTCCGGGGAATCGATGAGATCTGAGTAGGAGTTCAAAGGACTTCGCCTCCTCTCAAGAGCCCGGTGCATGTACTCCATCGTTAATCTTCTCAGTTCTTCCATCTTCTCTCTGCTGTCACTGCTTTCAGCATCTCCTGTGTTCTGCAATTGTTCCAGTTTTTCCCTGTAACTGCACATGACTAAGCAGTAGAGGGAACTGTTGTGTGCTGTGGATCCCAGTGCTCTTACAAGGAGTTCGTTAGCTCTGTCTTGGTTACCCTTTTTCTTGTAAAACTGGGCTGCTTTTTGCAAGACATCTGTTTGATTAGGAGCTTCTCTCAGGGCATCTTTAATCAATCGCTCCCCCTCAGCTGCTTCTCTTATCTTCTGCAGTTTCAGGGCCAAGAGAACTTTGACATACTGGTTCTTAGAATTCAGCTCCATGGCCTGCTTCAGGGCATCGACAGGGTACTGCTTCTCGGGCTTTTCTTCTAGACGGTACATGGCAATCGCAAGCCCAGACGAGCACTCTGGATCACTAGGCTTCTCTTCTAGAGCCTTTTCGAAACACATTTTAGCTCTTTCGTTCCTTCCACACTTTAGGCGCGTCCATCCTTCCTCACAGTCAAGTTCCGGACATTCCATGCTGTAAGGATTTGCAAACTTCTTGCAAACCTGTTTCACCTTGTCAACATAAGCCTGAGCTTCTGAGAGCCGGCCCATGTGATAGTAGACCCAAGCATAGTTTCCCCAGATGACCAGACGTCTAATTTCTGCTTGATCATCCTGCTTTGGCTTCAGGAAGTCTTCAGCTTGTGCTAAGCACTTCAGGGCTGCCTCGTTTTCACCATCTAGGTGTTTTACATAGGCCAATAAGTTGTACATTGTCGCTTTGTACTCAGAGTTTAGAAATTCAATCTGGTTACGCACTCTTTCTTCCATGTGAGTTGAGATACTTCCTTCCCTGAATAAGTTCCAGGTGAAATGGCACTTGAGCTGCGGAAGGATTTTTTCCAGAGAGTTCCTGGTGACCTCACTGTAGAAAAAACACACATGGACACCATGATGAGCTCCTACACATCTTGTGTATCCCGTGATGGTTAATTTTACGTCTTAGCTTGACTGAGTCCCAGGAGATTGAAAAATTAACTATCTTCTTATGGATGTTGGACTCAGACTACAGTATGAGCCATGGGCTCTAGGCTGTATTTGCTTTCTGGCTATACTTTGCAATTGCTAGTTTCTCAAACACCCACTAGACATTCAAGATTTGTTTATGTCCACACCCTTTCCGCTCTTCCCACCTGCCTCCCCTTCCTGTTGTCCCTGAGCACAGTTTCACAAATCTGATGCAAGAGGCACTTTTTTTTTTTACACTTAAGGAATGGGAGACTCAGTGAATACTGCATTTCAAGTCAGCAATGCTCCCATTTCAGTGTGTATATGAAAAATGTGTGGTCCTTTTCAAATAGTCCCATCCCTTGGCCCTCTCCTCTTAGCCTTATCTCAGATCTACTCATTCAGTAGTTTAGAAATCTCTGCAATTTGCATTTTAATCATACAAAAGTCAATTATGATTCAGGGCACAAGCATAGTACAATCTGAGAGACTGTCATACTTCTTATCTCTGCTCCTAGTTTACAGGGTAGAAGGTACCTAGCAGCTCACTAAGGGGATTGTTCTGATAACTTGCTCCCCAATTTTGATAAAGCAAATTTCAAAGCCGAGTGTAGTAGTGCACATCTTCAGTCCCAGCACTCGGGAGGAAGAAGTAGACTGACCTCTGTGAATTTGAGGCCAGCCAGGGTGACAAAAGTTAGACCCTCTCTCAAAAACAAAAACAAAAACAAAAAACAAAAAAATAAGATAAAGTAAAATACAAAAGTAAATTCAAGTTCTAAGTGATCACATACTGGAATTTTAGTTTACAGAATTAATAATGAGCACACATGATGAAAAGTCAGGATGCTGATAAGATAACCACAAAACAGCAATCCACAGATTCTGGTTTAGCCTTTTTAAATATAAGAAACTACAGTGGAACTAGAACCCCAGGGGCTGCCTCTTAGGTCTCAGATTTTATGGGCCAGATTGTTTTTAGAGAGGCTTGACCAATGCATCTTTAAGGCCTTCCCTGCCTTCAGCTCTCACCTGCTTCTGTCCTTCCTCGGATTAATCACAAAGGAGAAAGATGCTGTGATGCTAAATTTTCATTGTCAGTCTGATGTGATTTATAATTACCATAGAAACACACCTTTGGGTATGTTGAGGAAGGTGTTTTCAGAAAGATTTAACTGGGCAGCAAAAGCTCACCCTAAGTATGGTAGGCACCACCCTGATGGGCCAGGGTCCAAGTCTAAACACAAAAAGAGAAAGCAAGCTGGGCGCGAGTATTCATGTATCTCTGCTTCCTGAACACAGTGCGGTCAGCTTATGCTGTTGCCGCCGCCATGACTTCTCTGCCAAGACCCTACCCTCAAACTGTGAGCCAACATGGACCTTTCTCCCCAAAGTTGCTGTCATTAGGCATTTTGTCACAGTGCACTAAGCAAAGTAATCAATACAGAGACATAGACATAATACACAAATTGGTGAGACAGGTTATGAGAAATTTGGACAAATGCATGTTTAATCTCTAGACATTGAAAGACCACAACTAGGTAGAACAAGAGCTTTTCATGAGACTCTGTAAAGTCTACCCAGAAGGCACCAGGTGCCTTTCCAAGTCCTTTATTTACACTATTTTGTGATTTTTAACATTACTGGAAGAGCAGCTCAAGCTGCCTCCGTCCTCACAGAATGCCATGATGTAGACCTCTGACCAACATAGTCTAAAGGGTTCCCCCTCAGAGCTGCTTAGATCAGTGACTCTAGACATACCCAAACGCAAAACACAGCAAAGCCTCTTGTTTGGGCTAGCCACTAAGGTTCTGGGCAGGTCTTGGCCTTCTGGTCAACCACACTAACCACTCATACCAGTCTTCTCACAGGCCTGTTATAGAGGAAAGAATAACCCAGAGTAGTAGGAACTATAATCCCAATGCTGACCTTTCTAAATATTTGTGACCCTTGGGGCTGAGGGTAGGGATGACTGTCTTTTTCTTTCCCTCAGAGTAGTTAATAGAATCTGCCTTCCCTGGGCCATTGATGCCACAATCCTTCCCTGATAGATATTTGTTGGGAAAGGTACCATTTCCTCTTAGTTTCCTCTGAGGCTAAATTTAATGCAGAACTCCAGCAGATGTAGCTACATTTAAGAAAAATCACATTTACTATGACTTTTCTTTACTTACCATAAAATGTACTTCTTAGAGGGTGTAGTTTTCTGAGTCTCAACAGATGTTTATGCCTATGTACCCACCTAGATTCCTAGTTATTTCTGACATCTGAAAAGATACCTATGTGTACCTCCATACTCTATCCTTATCGACTCCAGGCAACCATTGGTCTCCTTCCCATAACTAGAAATTAGACAGAGTTTATATTTTT